ATATTATTTGACTAGGTTTTTTTTTTTTGGCACGTGCTCTAAAAAAAGTCTCACGGAGATCTAACAACTGCGGAAAAAAAGTACAAATGTCAAAAAATAAAGAAAAAATTCAGCAGGTGGCCTTTACAAAAAATATTTCATTTTTATACCCTCAGTGTCTAGTCGAAATAACTGCTTTAGACCCTAGGTCTCTTTAAACCAAATCCGTTTCAGGATATTTGGCGTCGATCTAGCGACGTACGTCCGTCTGTCTCTCTGTCTGGCTGGTGCGAACGATAACTCTCGAAGGGAGTATTCGATTTTATCCTAACTTGGTATATCGTAATATTATTATCAAACTTAGATCGAGTTCCAAAATGGGCAATATCGGTCCACTGCTTCTGGTACCTCCCCCACAAAATGTCAACATTTCCAAAGAAAACAATTTACTACACAGAACGAGAAAAAATAATAATAAATGTTTGTATCAGTGCCAGATCAGGTGCGAAAATGGACAATATCGATCCACTCTATAAAGTATTTCACCCACAAAGGGCCAACATTTTTAAAAATTATAACTCTTATAAAATGATGTTAGAGTCCGATAGTCTTCAAATTATACACACCAAAATATTTTCATTAATCAAAGGTTTAGTGAGAAGATGGAATATATCGGGTTAAAATTATGAATATTCATGACGATCATAAAGCAGGAAATTAACATCCGATTTTACTCAGACTTGGCACATCTCAATATTTTCATCGACACAAGATTCTTCTGGTACCTTCCCCGCAAAAGATCAAGATAATAAATATCAATGAAGCTCATAAAATGCGATATTTACATCGGATTCCGATTCATGGCATATCACAGTATTTCTATTAACATAAGATATGTTATAAAGAGAGTAGAGATCGGACAATTCCTTCTGGTACCTCACTCACAAATGGTCAACATTTTGAATAACCCAAATGATTGTAAAATTCGAAATATGCACTCAGTTCTCTTCATATTTCACACATCCCATCATTTCTACTAGCACAAGGTCTGGTATGAAAAACGGATTGAACGGCCCACTCCTTCTAGTATCTCCCCCACAACGGGTCAACATTTGGAATAACCATTAAGCATATAAAACGCGAAATGAGCATCCGATTACTTTCAAACGCGCCACATTCCAAAGCCTCTATAAACACAAAATTTGTTGTAAAGATGGACAATATCGGACTAATCCATGTGGTACCTCCCCCACAAAGGGTCAAAACTGTATAAAATTATAAATCACATAAAACGCGAACTTTCCTAAAAATGATCAAATTTCTCATATAAAGTGAGGGTAGTAGTCGATATAAAAATCAAATCTGATAGGTTATAAGAGTTTATCAGACTTAGGTCATATACGAAATGAATAAAAGTGGCCCACTCCTATAAAGGGTCAACAGTGTAAATCATAATGCAATTCAAAAATATTGGCTGAGGTTATGCAGCTGTGGGTAATTTAACTTGCTTTTAATCTATGATATTTGGCCAAGAATACTTATAAAATCTCCAAATATTTTTCCAGGAAGTCTTTGCAGAATATTTTTTAAATAATCCAAATTTCTTCCTGGAAATCGTTGGAAAAAACATTTTTTGAAGAGCAACGATTTTTGTCCTGGCATATCTTTCACAAGAATATTCTTCAAAATACACTCTCTGCATAGAGGTATTCTTAAAAAGCATTCGATGTGTTTTAATAAATCCGCCGCTTGTGAGAATGAATGTCGTTGAAAAATATGTTAACATGTATTTTTGATAACCAGGAATTTAAAGACGAGAAACATAATTTTCGTAATTCCAAAAAAGAATTTTTTATGGAGAAATTTTTAAAAATCATCTTCAAATGTATTATTATTTAAACATATTTCCAAATTATAAGAAAAAAAAAACAAGTTCGCAAAGGCTATGGTAGTGCGGGGCCGAACATGTGATACCCTCCAACACTACAAGATGTTGGAAGCCCTTTTATTTCCAAATCCATTTTGCAAGATTACTTTTTTTAAATAATGTCATAAAGCCCTGCCCAAATGTTACTCTTAAGTTTTAAACCCGGGGAATTGGCCTAATATTTACGAACTCTGTCATGTTGACAGGTATTCAAAAGAAGTACCCACGAAAGTTGAGGTCGCATTTGCAGCTAAATATATTCCAATGGCCATCCAAAATGCTGGACTTTTTCCTTGTCCTTAACTCTCTTCTCATGCTAATTTTTTTCCATTGTGACACATAGAGCGACTGCAAAATTAGGAAAGTTTTATTTTTTTTAGTCCCTTTGGATCCCTAAATGTACATCTTCATAACAATAAGCTTAAATTCTGACCGATTGTCATATTTTTACGCGATTTGTTTAGATTTTATCCTCTTCTGGAAAGAGACCATTCCGAATTGATGGGAGTTGTGAAAATCAGTCCAGCGGTTTATAATTTTGGGCTGTGTAAGAACTGATCCAAATATAGTTTACTATGTCGGGGACCAATATTTCAAGGTGTTACATAATTTTTGGCCCAATCAAACTTATAATACCCCCAACATGTAGCGTTGTAGGGTATAACAATTTTAGAATATATTTATGAGGACGTCCTGTGAAGAAAATATCGGCGACCAAATTTTGCAAGTTCCACGAATTTTTTATTGAAGTCCTTAAAAAAAAAATCTTGTATATTCACGATTTTTGGCTGGAGTTCATTAAAAATACTCGATGTTTGGTCATAATGTCCTTAAATCTGATTTTTACAACAAATCCGTTATTATGGGCAGGAGATCGTTGGTATCCCAATAGATTTTTTTTAATTTTTCTAAATTTTGTAACATAATGGCCTACAAATATGTATTTTGGGATCTTAAAAGGTAGACGAATCTAGATGCAGTTGCATACTCGCCTACATCCCGGCAACTCAAAATTTGCAGTATTTCAGAGAAATTCAATGTTTTTATAATTTTATGCTATTCCATTGTGAAAATCACATAAAGTCGGATGTGTCGGAGCTCAACTTCAATAAATCCAATTTAAAAATTCAAATTTAAAATCTTATAATAATACATTGTAACATTCATATTACCAGTGAATGTTAGCCAAATTCTTAATACAACGCTTTAGTCAAAAAGCCATTGGCCAAAGGATACACTCAACAATATTCGTCTCGCATAATTTCAATACAACATATTGAGAATTAAAATAAATATAGATATATCCCAGTTACAAAAAAAATATAACAAATGTACTTACCTAATGATATTTTATTGAAACAATCTGTCACATTAGTAATCTCTGCTCTGCAGTTCCAACATTTGTATTTGTTACACTTTCTTTAACTTGAAATTATTACAAATCTCCAACGGACGCACCACCAACGCACACATATGCACAAGGCGAAGGCACACAAATTCACACACACACACATATATGTAGTGTGAAATCCTTATGGAAACATGCGTTCCATTTTGTTCTTTTCATTTTAGTGATTATACATGAGGGAGTTGATGACTGACTATGCCTGCTGAGTTCTGGTGTTTTGTTTTTTCTTTATTTGGGGAAAAACTTCAATCCACAATGCTGCCTTGGTCCACATATTCTCGTAACGTATTCACTCGAAGGCATCTGTCTAATGAAAATATGAACTTAACTGTGTGGCACCAACCAACCAACAAACAAATGAATAAACAAAGAAAAAAAAAAAAAAAAAGATCGAATGATTTATGTGACTTTTGTATGATTTTTTATTCTGATAATATTGTGTTTCCCCTGGGAGGACGAAAAGGCGAAATCCATTATTCACATATATAATAATAAATAAATATATATAAAGATGTGCAATATGGGATGAGCAATGTTAAAGATTTATATTAAATATCAAAATTTAGATATAAAAACTGTTTTTTGTCTGTGATAAACTTTCTAAGGCCCTTTAGATAACAGGGTATATTTAATATTTAATCTAAGATTAAAATCTATAAAAAATTATGAACCACACGTTTTGGGACAGTATGATTCTCAGTGGAAAATCTTCCTCTCCAGAGACTATGCGGTGTTCTTACCCTTTTTAAAGAACTTCTGGTCTTCTATGAGAGAAGACTTTTTTTGTGGTCTTCTACGAGAGAAGACCTTCTTTTGGTATCCTATGAGAGAAGTCTTTCTTCTGGTCTACTATGAAAGAAGACATTCTTCTGGATTTTTATGAGAGATGACCTTCTGATCTCCTACAAGAGAAGACCTTCTTCTGGTCTGCTATGAGAAAAGGTCTCCTTCTGGTCTCCTATGAGAGAAGACCTTCTTCGTGTTTCCAATGAAAAAAGACATTCTTCTGGTCTCCTATGCGAAAAGACATTCTTCTGGTCTTCTGGACCTTCTCGTCTTCCATGAGAGATCCTTTGGTCTTCCATGAGAAGTCCTTCCTCTGGTATTCTATTAGAAGCAGAGATGGTCCGAATGGGAAAATTTTAGGTTTTCGACTGTAACAAAGTTGTAAACGTCGAAAACGTCATAAAGCTGTATAAAAAGTATGAAATGTATTTAACGTCATAAACCTGAAAAATGCTGTGTTATAATCATTATTATGGTCAATTTCTCAAGCTCTTGTTACTAAAAAGATTCAGTAAGTTTTTATACATAATTTACGTTGTTAAAAATGATTTATTTAAAATAATTGGAAAACTTTGAATTTGTATGAAACAAATTTCAAATGTATATTGCTGATAGTACCCACGATACTATATAATCACAACTTATATAATATGAACACATGTAAGATTCTCAAAATTTAGACTTTTATAAAATCTACTTTTTGTGATCTTGATGTTTTTTAAATAAAACATTTAAATTTAATTAAATGAATCATAAAATATACAAAATACATAGCACGCCATCTACAAAATGTCGCGTATACTGTTTGATGTGTTTTTCATTGCATTTGTGCATGTTAACAAATTGAACTGACATATGTCAACCAAAAAACGCCAAAAACAAATTAGTTTGAGCGGGAGATAAAACTACCTTTCAACAATTACAAAAATTTTATATATTTTAAAATGTTAAAAAGTCCGAGTGATGAACAACAACCAGAGGGGTTTGGACAAAGTTCTGGAGCAACCGGTGGTAGGCCCCTTCATCCATATTGGTACGGATATACAAAAATAAGTGAACGAGGAAAAGCTATTGCCCAGTGCAATAGGTGCAAGCAATTAATCCGCAACACGGCTATTAACAGAATGCAGTCACATCGGTAAGTACTCAATATTAATATTAACACAACGATTATTTATAAATGCGTTTTTGGATTTTTAGGAAAAAATGCAATGTTGAACAGATTGACGAGGACAACGGAAGTGATTTACTTGAAGCGGGTATATCCCAAAAAAATGTAAGCATGAATTCGTTTTCAATTTACATGTATTAAAATATCACTATTACTTTCAGTTGTCATGTACACAGACATCAAATACTCAAACTACTATTAAGGATTTTTTTCGTAAAATCGACAAGAAAGACAAAGCTCAACTCGACATTCGTACTGCCAGATTTTTTTTTCGCTTGTAACATTCCTTTTGTTGCAGCAGGTAATCAATTCTTCAAAGATTTTTGCAAAGGAATGCAACCATCGTACAAACCACCAAGCAGAAAAAGGATAGCTGGACCACTATTGGATGCAGTGCATAAGGAGCAAATCGATTTGAATGCGAAATTTTTAAAAGAAGGTACATATTCCGTACTTCTTATTGACGGATGGAAAAATTCAGCATTAAACACAAAAAATGTCGCAGCATTACTGCACAACTGTGATCACAGATTTTTTTGGAATCTTACGACTTTTCATACCTGAGAGAAACTTCAGAAAATCTCACTGAAATGGTGAAGAAAGCTGCCAGTTTAGCCAAAGATCGATACAAAGTTGAAGTTTTCGCTGTAGTCACAGATAATGCTGCCAATATGGTATCAATGGGCCGGAATGTTGGGCTGATTCATACAACGTGTAATGCCCACATCGGCAATTTGCTATCCAAAGATATCATCAAGAATTTTGGTATTCGTTTCGAGTTAAATTATCTTTGTGCGACTGGGAATAGCCAGAGGCGATCTACGCGGCTACAGTCTCAACAAAACGATGATGTATTCGGTATGTTGGAGGACGAAGTTACTGAAAACTCTTCAATACTTGGAAAAGTACATAAAATTCTTAATGAATTTAAAAAAGTACATATTGAAAGAAAGTTGTCAATGCTTGGAGGAACCAAAGCGAAGTTACCATGTGCAACAAGATGGTGCAGTGAGCGTGATGGACTTTTTTGGTTGATAAACAACATTTCCAAAATGAAGCAAATATCTGCAGAAACTAACACTGATGGAAAACCCTTGGTCAAATCCTATATAATTGAGCTGCTCTATAAGGAGGACTTTATTCAATCCGTTAAGGAACTATTTGATCTTTTGAATCCTGTAGCTTTACTTATAAAAAACTGTCAAAAGTCTGAGTATTCTATAGCTGATGCAACAGAAGAATGGATACAATTGCTTACTACGGCAAAACCAGAATTATATGAAGTGGCGGCAGAAAGATGTAGAATCAGTAAAGTCTTTAATAAATATAACCTCGCAGCAAATGTTTTGCATCCGCTATATAAGGGTGGAAGGCTGAACCCAGAGCAAATGCAAAAAGTTGAAGACTTTTTACTGGAAAATCTTGATGAACATGGATTACAATCATTTTCAGAATACAAAAATGCGGCAGGATTTTTTGCCTTACTTTTGGAAAAAACATCCAAACCTGGGCTATTCTGGGAATTGACTGCAAATAGACACAAATCATTAGCGACATTTGCACAAAAATTGCTCATGATACCAGCTTCAACAGCTCAGCTGTAGGGTATTTTTTCAAATTGGACACATGTTCATACCGATTTGAGGAACAGATTAGACTCAGAACGTTCTAAGAAATTGTTAGAAGTTTATTTTTCTTTAAGAATAAATGAAACAAAAGAGGTCTCGCAGTATATAGAGGATACTGATTCCAGCGAAAACGAAAATTAAACGAAACAAATTACAAAATAATTTGTAATAACAGTATGTACCTGCTTAGAGGCCTTGGATTTTAAATGTAATTTAAATGAATTATTTAAGTTTCTTATGTTTTTGTATTTCCTGTTTAATAAAACAAATATTTTAAAGAAAAACTGAATTGGATTTTAAGAGACAAATGTGTTTTTTATTTCGTTCCTATTTTTGTCAAAAATCTTGTTTTATCGGGTAGGTTTACGACTTTTCCGACGTATGTAATATACGTCGGAAATGTATGTCAGATACGTCATAATTTCCGACGGGCCATCTATGATTAGAAGACCTTCTTCTGGTATTCCATGAGAAGACCTATTGATCTCCTCCAAAATGCCTTTTTGCTTTCGTAAGGAAGACCTTCATCTCTTCTATGAGAAATCTTTCTGTGAGAAGAACTTCTCGAGATCTTCTGCTCTTCACTGGGGTGAAATTCTCGTCTTCTATGAGGAGAGCTTCTGCTCATCTCGGAGAAGAGCTCTACTCTGAGAAGCCCTCTGGCTTCCTGGCCTACTCTAGGAAGACCTTCTGGCCTTCTCTGAGAAGACTTCCTGGACTTCTCTGAGCAGACCTTGTGGCCTTCTCTGAGAAGACTTTCTGAGCTTCTATGAGAAGACCTTCTGCTCTTCTCTGAGAAGACCCTCTGCTCTTCTCGGAGAAGACCTTCTGCTCTCCTCGGAGAAGACCTTCTGCTCTCTTCGGAGAAGACCTTCTGCTCTCCTCGGAGAAGACCTTCTGCTCTCCTCGGAGAAGACCTTCTGCTCTCCTCGGAGAAGACCTTCTGTTCTTCTCGGAGAAGACCTTCTGCTCTTCTCGGAGAAGACCTTCTGCTCTTCTCGGAGAAGACCTTCTGCTCTTCTCGGAGAAGACCTTCTGCTCTTCTCGGAGAAGACCTTCTGCTCTTCTCGGAGAAGACCTTCTGCTCTTCTCGGAGAAGACCTTCTGCTCTTCTCGGAGAAGACCTTCTGCTCTTCTAGAAGAAGACCTTCTGCTTTTCTCGGAGAAGACCTTCTGCTCTTCCCTCGGGCCTTCTTTGAGAAGACCTTCGGGCCTTCTTTGAGAAGACCTTCTGCTCTTCTCTGAGAAGACCATCTGCTCTTCCTTGAGAAGACCATCTGCTCTTCCCTGAGAAGTCCTTCTGGACTTCTTTTCGACCTTCTGCTTTTCCGTGAGAAAACCTTCTGCCTTCTTTGAGAAGACCTTCTGGCCTTCTCTGAGAAGAGCTTCTGGCCTTCTCTGGGAATATTTTCTGCCCTTCCATTGGAAGACCTTCTGGCCTCCTTTGAGAAGACATACTTCCCTTCTCTGAAAAAACCTTCTAGCCTTATCTGAGAAACATTTCTGGCCATCTCTGGTCTTCTATTTGGTCCGGCCTTCTATAAAACATCTGGTCTTCTATAAGAAGTCTTCTGTGAGAAGAACTTCCGGTCTTCTACGAGAATGCTTTCTGGTTTTCTATGGGAAGAACTTCTGGTCTTCTACGAGATTACTTTCTGGTCTTCAATGAGAAGACCTTCTGGCCTTCTATGGGAAGACCGTTTTTCCTTCCTGAGAAGACTTCCTGGCTTTCTCTGAGAAGACCTTCTGGGCTTATCTTAGTAGAACTTCTGGCCTTCTCTGAGTAAACCCTCTGGCCTTCTCTGAGGAGATTTTCTTGCCTTTCCTGAGAAGAACTTCTAGCCTTCTCTGAGTAGAACTTCTAGCCCTCTCTGAGAAGATTTTCTTGCCTTTCCTGAGAAGAACTTCTATCCTTCTCTGAGAAGATTTTCTGCCCTCCCATTGAAAGACCTTCTGGCCTTCTTTGAGAAGACCTCCTGGCCTTCTCTGAAAACAGCTTCTGGTCTTATCTGAAAAAAATGTTTTTCTTCTTTGAGAAGATCTTCTGGTCTTCTATTGGAACAAATTTTGGTCTTCTATTGGAAGAACTTCTGGTCTTCTATGAGAAGACCTTCTGGCCTTTATTAAGAACACCTTCTGGTCTCCTTGAGGAGACATTCTGGCCGTAATGAGAAGACTTTCTGCGCTTCTATGAGAAGAACTTCTGGTCCTCTATTAGAAGACTTTCTAGCATTATGTGAGAATACATTCTCATCATCTATGAGAAGACTTTCTCGTCTTCTACACGAAGACCTCCTGGACTTCTAAGAGAAGATCTTCTGCTCTGTATTGAGAAGATGACCTTGTGGTCTTCTATGAGAAGACCTTCTTTTTGTCTTCTATGCGAATTCGTTGATCATGTCCTGGAAGTATTTCTTACACGGTTGTCACCTTTCCCCACGAAAGCTTACATACTTTGTTCCCCTCCTAGTCCATAAATTTATACAATTTCCTTCATTAATCCCACAAAATTGGCGATTGCTCATATGTCTGAGTTACATTGCAATTAATTCCACCAGCAAACAAACATACATAGATTCATTTTTACACACATACACACATCAAATACACACATTTGTATTTCTTGCATAATGTTCCAATGGAGTTTCCTCTCGTTGGCTATTACTTCAAACATATGCAACAGACAACTTGAACGCACACGAACACACCACATCATACAACCAATTGTCCACATGTTCGAACCTAAGCTCCATGAAGACTCATGCATAGCATTTAGCAGCGGCAGCCCCAGCAACAGCATCATCTTCATCAGCATCGGCATCGGCATCAACGTCAGCAACAAATATCCTTTATTTATTCTTTTGTATGCCAATGATGTAGAAGAGTTCTGCACAAATCCATGTGAGTGTGTTTCCATGTGTGCCTATGCTTAGTAGTGTGTGTTCTGAAACGTTTGCAGATATTTCTCTATTCCAGCTCCAGCAGCAACAACCAACCTACATACACATCCAGCATTATAATTTAGCTCGAGGGTAATTCACCTTAAGAACATTTGATTAATTTGTTTGCTTTACGATGCAATTTTGCCAACATTTCACATTTGCTTTACATCCACATTCGTTCAAATATTCACATCTTCTGGTCGAAGGTAGTTGTGTGGGTTTGAGTGTGTGTTAATGTGGCATGGTGTTCGGTGGAACAGTGGTGGGAAATGTTAAGGAGATATTTTTTGAAAAACTTATAGAAAATTGATAGAATTTATGAAAATTTACAGAATATTTCTTAATACCTTGGAAAAAGTCTTCGAAAATTCACACCATATTTTTCTAAATTTCGCAATAAATAAATTAGAACATCCTTATAATTTTTGTTATTTCGAGTATTATAAAGGCCGATGTTCAAAAATGATATCTTCTCAATAATGCTCTCTGAGAATCCAAGGTTTTGTGGAACATCGTGACATGAATTATATTTGATTTTCCACTTTGATATTAAGAGTCATTGCCTTGAAAAAAAAAACCCCACGATTTTGGGGGACGGAATGTCTTTCAGAAAAAAATATTTAAAAATCTGGGATTTAACGGACTAATAGGTTCATTAAACATTTATTTAAAAAGTTAAATAATATCAGACGGTTTTGCCGATAAGTGTATACCTCCAGCCTTGCGTTTTGATTATTCAAACTGTTTACTCTGGGGGGAAGTTCCGAAGACATGGACCTATCTCTGATATAATTTTTTTCAACGTAACAGATTTGGGCTATATCGACTACTGTCTTCATATTTTATGAGAAATATTATAATTTTTGAAAAATGTTGAAATATGCGCGGGGTGACATACATAGTGGATCGAAGTATTCCACTTCATCTGATT